GCTAAAACATGTAAATAGTCCAATTGCCCACCAACTGGAGACTGGATTAAAAAAATGTGGTTTTTATAAAATGGAATAATACTCAGCCATAAAGAATGAGAAATCAGAGACATTTATAGCTAAATGGTTGCTCATTGAGGCCATACTCTTAAGTGAAATAATTAGTACACATGTGTGAATAATGAATGGTTTCTCTGGCGTGGAAAACTGAAAATGTGAAATAGGAAGAAAAGGTCCAAAGGGGAAAGGGAAGTGGGAGAGGAAGCAGGGGAAAGAAAAGAAGGAAATGGAATTAATATGAGAAAATTAAAAAATGGAAACAAAGTCTTTGTAAATAGGGAGGGGTTGAAGGAAGGGCAGGGGAATGGGGGAAAAAGAGAACAAAGATATATTATGTAAAGGTACACATTTCCAGTGGTAAATGTCATTATATTGTATACTTAAAATGTACCAATAAATTAATTTTTTTAAAAGTAGAAACAATAAATTACACTTCAAGTCTTCCTCTCAAACTATACCCAAATTTGAATAGCATATGAGAGTTCCACTTGTTCTACATATTTGCCAATATTTCTCGTCAGCATATTTTTAAAAATATTTGTCAATCTGATGAGTATGAAGTGAATTCATTTGTACCTCCCATCAAAGCTGAATACCTTTTCAAATGTTTATAGAAAAATAGTTTACTTTTGGGGTAGTGGCTTATTTGTATCATTTTCTCTATTTTCTGCTGTACTGTTCTTTATTCTTCCTATTGATGTGTAGGGGCTCTTTATATATTAAAGAAATGAATGTTTGTCATCAGTAAGTATTTTTATGATCTTCTCTAGGCCTGTGACTTGTTTCTATGTTTAAATTAAATTATTTAAATTGGATGAAATATTTCATGTGATTAAATGTCAATTTTTCCATTAAAATTATCTTCTATTTTGTTTAAAACTCTTTCCCGTCCTCAAAATTCATATTATATCATACTTTCTTTGACATTTTTAAAGATTGATGTCACTCATCCTTATCTATGCTGCTTTTATTTTAGTAAATATTATGAGCTAAGGATCTAAATTTACTTTATTTTGCATAGAGATAATGTCATACATCACATTTTTATGTGTGTATCTATTACCCAGCTCTCTTTTGTGATCAAATGTTCTGTTTTTCCATTCTAATGTTGGTATTATTGTTAGTTCCCTTTGTTTCTATGTGTCTTATAATCCTGTTGAATCCTTTCATCTTATTTTTCCATTTCATGGGTTTTCTTTAAATTATGCTTAGCCCTTTGTTCTTTCCAATGAATTTCAGATTAACTCTAATGAAACTTGATGAGACTCTAGACTACTTTGTGGAAAACCAGCATATGCTTGACACCCCTTTATCATATATAAACATATGATATGTCCCCATTAATTCAGTCTTTCTATATTTCAAAATATTCTTGTAGTTTTTTCTATAAAAATCCTGCATGTTTTAAAATATACTTAAACCTAGCTACCTTACATTTTTGTTTGTGGTTAACAATAGAATTTCTCCTATTTCAGTTAAAAATTGGTTATACTGATTTATAAAATATTATTTTAATGCTGTTGAGTTTGTAAATCCACTTAGAGTATTTTTATCATAGAAGTATGTGGAATTGCATCATATGTTCTTTTCTTTATCAGTTGATATGATTATTTGATATTTTTAATTATTTGCCTCTAGTAGACTTAGAATAAACTCCATTGGTCATAGCTTGTATTCTTCTTATATATTGCTGAATTTTATTTGCTAACAATGTTTTTATTCTATACTTGCAAGGGACATTAATTTGTAATTTCTTACTTTTTAAGTAACATTTTTCTCTGGGTTTTGTATAGGGTAATACAAGCTTCATAAAATGATTTGAGAAGTGTTCTTTCTCACATATTTGTTTGCCTTTGGTTGTATTTGTGGCTATTTTAATAACTTATTGTTTACTTCTTGCAGATGGGTGAGTATTCATGGATTTGTTCCTAGTATCCTAGGATCTCACAGGGAAAATGGGGTCTTATGAGAGTTAAGTCCAAAGAATGACAGTGTTGAAAAGAAAGAACACTCCAGAAAGTTAAAGTAGTATTTTGCCATAACTAACTTTCCATTCAGGTATCTGGTTCCAATCAGGGAGACTAAAAGAATTTGTCCTATTAGTATCCTCATAAAATCAGTTGTTTCTGGCTAAGTATTGTGAACTTTAATGGTCTTGATAATCTATTACCCAGTTTTAAATAGAGAGGGTTTCTATTTGGTTTTTGTCTTAAATTCCAATAATTATAATAATCCAATTGAGAAAGTTCTGAGTAGGTGATAATTTATAAATATAGTATATAAAGGTTTTGTCATGTGCTTCATTTTTATATTAAGGGAGGAGACAGGCATTAATTTTTTTATTATGACCTATCGTCTAGGATGATTTCTCGCTGAGATCTATGTAAGTCCTAAGTGTTGGTACAAGTATTTGTAACTGTCTTTTATCCAAAAATGACTAATAAACATCAAGGGAGATAAAGGAAAGTTATCAGCCTCTAATCGATGTGACATCACAATTGAGATATGAACTGCAAGTTAGATAAAAATAGGTAACCTTAGACAAGTTAATCTTTTTAAAGTACAAATGTCTCAATTGATAAACTGGGGTTATATAAAAAGAGGCTATGACAACAAGTCTATCATGAATATAATCAACCTGTGAATGATGTTATTTAAATGAGTCACAGAGACAAAAATTGAGAAAATTGAAGGATTATTTGTCTTTGTTAAGAAAATAGCAACAATCTAATCTCTTGAGAATCACACACACATAAAAGGCTGTAGTTTAGCTTCAACTAGCAAATTATATTTATATATAGGTATATATCCATTTAATCCAGGGTGTTTACCTCAGCCCACAACATATCAAGTCAGTGTATAAAGAACTAAACTACAATCTGTTTTAAAATATATTTCTAGATGTAATTTCCAGGGATAGGATACCCTATAAGCAAAGATGATTTTCTGATAATTTTAGTTTATAATGAAGTAAAATCTTTTCCATTCCCATCCCCATGCAGCCATTTTGAAAAGCAAAATCTCTACTCTGTTACATTTTAATATAAGATCAAGTGTGATGGTATACATTTTTTTCAATATGTATATGTTACGAGTTTTTTCAGAAACATCTATTGTGATTGTTTTCCTATTCCTATTGCTGTTTAGCCACCATTAAATGGAAGCTTCTTTAGCTTTGCCCACTGTTTCAGATTGGAGTCATCTATAATTTAAATAGAGGTCTGGTATGCACCTTACTATTAAAGCCAATTTAATTAATATTATTTAAATCACTGATGACAGTACTATCTCCTACATGTCATTCCCTAACACCTATGTCCTTCTTCCCTGACACAGTAAGTATAATTTTAATATAACATTTTCTGTATCTGATAATATATCTAATTATGTAATATCCCAAATGTCATAATGACTACTGTATGTCAAAATACAGCATGCATGCCCCCCCCTTCTCATGACCATCCAATTTGGCTTATATTACAGAAAAAATAAAAGCTTGTGCTTGACTGGAAAAGCAATGCTAATTTTTAATTTAATAGCCTAAATTATCTGAATTACCCATAAAATTATTCTGGATAATGTAGTTCAGCATTTAGTAGGCTGAAATATTTATCTTTTTCCAGGGTATTTTTTGTTGTTGTTCTAGATTAACTAATCAAGAATGGGAGTTTTATTTTTCTGTGAACTAAACATAAATACACTTGTTATAACAATGTGTAATGAGGATAATGATGATAAGCATTTCACAGGAAATATCAGGTATCTAAGTAGCTATTTTAAATCAACTGTTCTATTGAAAAAAAATATATATATGTATATATATATCTGAAACACATGAATCAACAGTGAAAATTTTTCAAAGAACCTACACATGTAACCCTGACCAGACAATAACACAAAACAGGAATATTTTAGCATGATTGTATTCCAGTATCAAGAGACATTTTATAGGAGATTTGCATTTTATATAAAATAGCTAATATGAATTCGGTTTATTTTTTCATTTTCTCATTCCATATTACCAAAACTTTCGTGGCACAGTGTCATCAGTAAATGCCTTAGGATTTAAAAAAAAATGTTTTTACTGTTAGTTTTATTTATTCCTTGGAAAATAACCTTATAATTCTTTATGGAGTGGTTATGGTAACTGTGGAAGGGCAAGAGGACGTTGTCCTTGTAAAACTTTACAGTTTTGTTTTTACATTAAACATCCAAATATCAGCATACGTGAAAGAAAAATGCTTCCTTCCTCTGTACAGAGCCAGTATTAAACCCGCCACTTCTAAACACTGTGTCCACTGTACGTCGCAGCAGTGAGATTTTCTGTGTCACATGGGCAGAGGGAGGCAGAGTAACAGGGAGTTCTAGCTGGAAATTTCTTCTCTGTTATTGTTCCCCCTCTGCAGTTGATGGCTAAGTTAATTCTCCTTAGTTTTGTCACACTCTAAAGCACACATTGCCAAGCAATGGTAAGCTTTATGAGGAAAAATAAAGAAGCGGTGGTGTTCATCAAAGTCTTAAAGTTGAATTTTTAAACTTTGGCTGGACCTGATGTGCCATTCAAAAAAGCTTCAAAAGATTATTTTTTAAAGAAAGGTTCAATATGTCCCGAGGCTATCGGTTTTGAGTTAAACTGGGTGAAGTAGAAATATTTTACTCATCAGCTTTGCAGTCACAGAGTTTGCCTCAGCTAGAACAAAACTGCTGAGGCATTTAGAGAAAATTAACCCCCCATCCTGGCGGCCAGATGTGACTGGTTTCTGATGAATGCACATGAGTGGGCTGAAAAATCAAGAGACTGTGAAATTCCTGTCAGGTCCGCACAGTGCAGAATGGGCCATTGACTGCTTTCTATATTTCCCTCCATCATTCTTCTTGAACACTGCCATTAATTTCCTCTCCTACTCTGACTTGTGTTTTCCCCTCCCTCTTGCCTTTAGCTCTGTCAGCTGCAAAGAAGTCTACACAAGCAGTGGCAGGAGCACTTCCGACTGGTGGTCCTCTTCAGCCAGATGAAGCTGGCCAGGTTCCAGACAGACTCTCAGGAGACTATTCAGAAAATATTAGCTGTGCAGGTAGGTGATTGCAGGGAAGTAGGGAAGATCATTCTGATCTAGATTGAAAAGCAAATGATGGGTAGTGTGATGAAGCATTAAAACCATATCCCATCAGAGTTTTATAAATTTTTAACCTCTTTAATAAACTGAGATTGCATGAGGGATGGATTCAGTAAGTTAGCACATATACCATGCATACTTTGGGGGAAAAGAGAGAGCTGACTTACTTCTCATAAACCTCAGGATGGCTTTTTATAAATATCTCTGGGAACAAATGTGTTTTGTCAAACGTTCGGGCTTTGCAGTTGCCATTTGGCTATTTAAAAGGTGTTGATAACACTTACCTTGCAGCGCTGTTGTGCAAAATCTGCTTCAGATTTTGAACCTCTGACATTTCTGTTGTGTAGCTATTGTCTTTCCCCTCCAATTTTGCAGGAGGCTCATCCTCCCAAGCAGATGTGGAGATAGCTAGTTTAAAAATAGCCATTTTGGGGGCTGGGGATTTAGCTCAGTGGTTCTGCTGCCTGCCTCACAAGCAAAAGGACCCAAGTTCGATCCCCAGTACC